CCATGTGACACATCAAACTTATTGGTAATGTCACAAGAAAAACAATGGTGTGCTCACAGCTCACACTACTCTTCATCACTGTAGAGAGTATATGGGTATAGAGGACTTCAAACTGCCCCAGTCCAAATCATGATCTTTGTACCTGTGCTTGGAGCTCTGATCACTCTGTGGGGTCAGACTGTGGCAGCAAACTGTCCAAACGTCTGCTCTGACAGAGCTGCTCACACTTGTTAATGATCATAATGATGATTTGGTTATCAATGCTGCTGCCGGTCTCTTCAGTGTATTTGCTGTGGAGGTAATGAGTGTTATTTACTTTTCACAGATCTTCACTCATATATCAGGTTTTATTAATCTTACCTGGCTCCACTGACATCTACTCCCACCATTAGCTGCCCATTCAGCGACAGCAGTTCATCTCTCAGTTTGATCCCACCACAACGAGCTGCTGGGCTCCTCTTCCTCACCTCCGTCACCCAGATGCAGCCCACATCCATGATGGGGCTCTGATCCCTCCTGCTCCTCGGGCCTCCCTTCTTTCTTCCCTTTGGGTCTCCAAAAATAGGGATGTTTCCAAAGCTAAGGCCGAAGTCCGCAGCATCGCCCTCATCCTTACTGAGGGAAACCGTATGAAGCTCAACATCTAACGCCTCACTGTGTGAGGCCCGGCTGACTGATGGAGCTGTGTCCCCCTCCATGAAGTTGAAATGAATGTACTCCACCAGCTTCTGAATAGCAGCCAGACAGAGGGACGTGTCCTCCACATGTCCTCCACCACTAACAGTGCTGCACACACTCTCCCCATCCCCGTTCAGGTAGGAGTCAGGATCCAGCCGCTGCAGAGAGAAGAGTCACCAATCAGGAAACATTTGCATCTGTGCAGACGTTAGTTTTCAACAAATACACATTCATTCTGTTCCTCACAGGACACCTTTAATTTTTATGTCTTTCTTTTTTAATCTTGTCCTGTCAGCAGCTTCAGAGCTGTGATGTGAATGCATGCAGCACGCTTTGCTCCTGCAAGAACAGCTGCACAGCATCTCTATCAGGGTGTCAAACTCGCGGCCCGCGGGCCACTTGCGGCCCGTGCACTGATGTGGAGAAACATGATGCAGTTTGTCTTTGAAGTGACTGTTTGTTAGGGAGGAAAATCCAAAGCACAACATGACTGAATATGAAGACGACATGAGCAGAGAGCACAAAGCTGCTGAGGCTGTCAGTGACAGTCACACTGTGTGCACTTATTTATTCTGTTCTGTACAAACACAATGTGCGCGCACAGGACCAGTGTGTTTGAAAGGCTCCAGCTAAGTTTGCAGTTTTGTCTCATACAAGATTTGAAATTTAACAAACAAACAAAACATTTTAGGAAATATTTGTGTGTTTGTTTTGTTCTAGCTCACAGGTGTCAAACTCCAGGCCTCGAGGGCCGGTGTCCTGCAGGTTTTAGATGTGTCCTTGATCCAACACAGCTGATTTAAACGGTTAAATGACCTCCTCAACATGTCTTGAAGTTCTCCAGAGGCCTGGTAATGAACTCATCATGTGATTCAGGTGTGTTGACCCAGGGTGAGATCTAAAACCTGCAGGACACCGGCCCTCGAGGCCTGGAGTTGGACACCCCTGTTCTAGCTGAACACTAACGTGTGAGACGCCAGCAGTGGCTCTCAGCTCAGTTTGACCCCCTGATCTACCGGCTCCTCTTGTTCATGGGAATCCTTTATCTGTTTGTTTATTCATCTCTGTGGGTCTTATTTCAAATATTACATTGAATGTGGTACAGTATGTGCTAGCATTGCTATCACCAACAGCTCCACCTGTAACAGACAAAAACAAACAGCAGCTGGGAGAGACACACGACTCCACAATCCTCTGATGGTGTGCACTGAAGTGGAGGCCATGCTCACGTAGGAGCACGTCATGACGTCTCACTCCATCTTTTGGTAGAAAAAGACGTTGTTTTGGTTTTTTTACACCAAATGAAAGCAGACGTACGGAGCCGTGCGTCCTCCTGGGATCAAACCAGGGATCTTTCACTTGGTAGGTGAAACTACAAAACCATCAAACTTTGTTCAGTAAAAATGGAAAAAACGACGCTTGTGCAGCCAGAACAAAGCGCACAATGTTGAGTTGTCTGGGCATTAATGAGGCTGTGGTGGGAAATGTGTCATTGTTAGTCCTGTTTGTTTGTAATGCAGACACACTGTTGTTTTTCTGTCAGTGCGACTGTTGTGGTGATTTGGTGCTGAATAAATCAAACTGCATTTATCTGAATGACATTTTAATAATTAAATGAAGCGTGCATGTTTTACTCCCCATGAGTGATCGCCCAGGCCAGGGTCACCACAGAGCAGTCAGTGAACGACTTTCTGTCTTTCCCTCATCGGTTGTCGGTCCATGTCTTTAACAGGTTTGCATCCTGCCTGTTTGACGTCTTGGTCAGTCAGAGGTTGGATTTAAGGTGGAATCAGGTAACATCAATGAGAGCATGCAGCATTATCAGTGGAGAGACTGGTCAGTACCGTGTAGCCAGAGGAGCTGTCCTTACTTACATCATCCTGCTGTGACCTCGTGCTGTGAGCCCCACGCCAATCCTCCAGCAGTGACAGAATGCTTATGGCGTTGTCCTGAGTGATCGGCATCCTGGCATCTCCGCTTGTCCTTCACCAGACGCCACTCTGATGCTTCCAATGATCAGTGTAGGAGCAGGAACCAGCCTGGGATGGCTGCCCCAAACCCATCTCTCAGAGAGAGCAGTGCAGAGACCGTGTGGCAGAGACCAGGGTGGATGTCATTACTGACAGGACACGTCTGTAGGGTCTGCAGCACGAGACAGAAACAGTGTGATACAGACTTTAATACACACACAGATGATGTTTGTTTTTCATCGAGCTCATCGGTCATTCCTGCACGTCTGTGCTCTGATGCTTTACATGGTAACAGTGCACCAAACAGACCCTGGAGGGTAAAGAGCTCAGAGTCTTATGATGTGCAGCACCAACCAATCAAAACGCACTGTGCATGATCATTTACAAAGTACATATAAAACAAATAGCTCAAAGTAATGCCTACTGCTGTTCGGGCTTCAGTGCAGCTATGCCATGTTGTTGGCTGTTATACAACAGTTTATATGGAGCAGCTAAACAGGAAGAGTCTGCTGTGTTTTCCTTGTTATCGTCTCCACGCTTACAGAGGCAGAGGAAGGAACTGAAAACGAAGCTTCTCCCAGTTACTAGGACTAACTAATACTAACTAGGACCAACTAGTACTAACTAGGACTAACTAGGACCAACTAGTACTAACTAGGGCTAACTAGTACTAACTAGGACCAACTAGTACTAACTGGGACTAACTAGGACCAAC